AATATATATTTACATGAATTCTTCTGGGAAAATTGATTTAATTTAACGCTATTCCCTTTAATGCTCAGTTTTTGGGGAACAAATTAAGGGCGCTAAGTGTGGGGGTTGCCTGTGCAGCACTGAGACCTGGATAGACAAAAAGTGCCAGGGCCCAAATGTGCCAGCCAACATATGGCTGGGGTTCAGTCCCATACCAGTGGGCTGAAATGCAACAGCAAAAAGGTCCCAGGATTGTGGCTGCAGTCCAGACATGTCGTCCCAGCTATACCACCAGGCCAAGGCACTACAATCCCTAATGCAGGGGGCAATAGCTGCCAGGACCCCATTCCTGGTCAGGCTGCAGAAGGGAAGGATACTCTTTTGGCATCATCCCATTGAAGACCTGCACGGCCAGTAGCTGCCAGGACCCCTTTCCTGGTCGGTCTACACTAGGGAAGGGCACACTCATGGCATCATCCCAGCCAGGTAGCCTGACCCTTAAATCATATTTTAGACATCATCACCTGGTCCTGACCAGAAATGGCATCATTTGGACACTGCTAATGCAGACCAATTGATTCAAAGGTGGTCAGCGCTCCAGGTGAAGCGGCCAGTCACCAAATCAGTGGTCTTTCCTGCCCCAGGGCAGGGGGGCTGGACCCCGTGATCTGTAAGGTCCCTTCCAGCTCCTAAAAAACTCTGAAACTGGTCCCACAGGTCCCTTGGAGCGAATGTTAAGACAATGGCCTGGACACAGCGAGGGGGAAGGGACGCCATCTTCTTCCAGTCCCAGAAAAGGCGCGATATAAAGCAAAAACAAGATACACAACAGCATTACACCAAAACACACTTTACCACACACGACCCCAAGTGTGCGTGGTGTTGCATTCATTTAAATTGCAAAAAGAAAAAAAACCCCATTTATGTAAAGCGTGATGCAATTGAACCACAAAAGTGGGTGATTTCTGTCACGTGTACAAGCGCCTTAGATGTCCAGACTGCAGTCACAGGCCCGGGCCTTTTTGCTGTTTCACAACTATCGCATTTCAACCTAGCTGTGCGTGGCTGAACCCCAGCTATATGTTTGGCTGGCAAATTTGGGCCAGGGTGATGCCTAGCAGGGCTGGAGCCAGGCGCTACTTGTTGTTCAGTGCCGTATAGGCCTGGCCGGCTATTGCTGCCCAGTTCAGGCTCAGCGAGATAGGCCTGGGCCTCCTTTTGTCCCTTTTTCAGTTAGTGCCCCAACCAAGCAGCGGTTGAGGGGCTGGTTGTCGTTCAGGCCCAAGCCAAGGTGGGTCTGGCACAGTGAACCCATGGGGCAGCACATAGGACTCGCTGGTGCAGGCCCCGATCCCCATCCCATTGCTGACGGGCAGGTGTAGGGGTGCCACGGTATAAAGCCCCAAATCTGAGACTGCTTGGGCATGGGTAAGATGCCACCTAGACACCTTGTTTCATAGTGTTTTAAAATGATATAGTTAGGGTTTGCTTTTCTTTTTCATAATAAATGTGGGTTTCGGGTTGACCCTGCTTGCAAGGGAAGGGTTGTCGGTTGCATTGGACACCCTCGTGATGCATTTAGTGCTTTCCAGGGGTGGGGGCTCGAGCTGAGGTCAAATATATTTAGCAGCCCAAGATTGAACCCGGCCCTTGTTGCTGCTGACAGGTGCTCAGCCGAAGGGTGACATAATTAACCCCCACCCACCCTACAGCATGCATATAGATACCCTTTTGTGCCTCCTCCCATGATGCCCCTCCATCCCAATCCTCATCCTCAATGCCCTTCTCTTTTTCCTCCCATTTCATAACAGCATAACTGGTTCAAGCGCCCCCTTTTCATGGGGAAACTGGGCTGACTTGATCTCGACCGTGGGGTGGGTCCAAGCTAAGATCCCCCCGAAAGAAAAAAGATGTCCGTCCCAGCCGGATATATTTGATGCTGTGGCGTCACCCTTTCCCTGTACGGGGAAGTCTCTTACCAATATCAGCGGCAAGGTCTTCGGCCACGTCGAGCAAGTGGTGTTTTTGCAGTGTTTTGAGCTTCACATCCAAGGCAAAGTCCTTGCGCAACAAACTGACACGCAGGTCCATGAGGTTCAGACAGTTGGGTTTTTTGTATCCTGATTTTTCTGTATCCCGGCTTCACCAGGAGCTGAGTGCAGGCCTGAAGTCCTCGAGTTGGCCCTCCCTGAGGTCCTCCAGGGTAGAGACTGGGAGATCCCTTCGTTATGCCGCCAGCTCAGAAGGCGTCTTTGCAAAACGCTGAGAATTGCTGTCTGTAACGAGAAGGGCTGAGCCCCTTCCAGGAAACGATGCTCTCTCTGTTATTTCCTCCTTTCTTTAAAAGGCCATGTCCCTGGGTCTTGCAGCATGGGGGATGGATGCATAGAGTGGGGGTAGATGCATGGATAGAGCGGGGGCTGGATGGATGGATAGATTGGAGGTGGTTGGATGGATAGAGCGGGGCTGGATGATGGACAGATCAGGGTGGATGGATGGATAGAGCGGGGCTGGATGATGGATGGATGGATAGAGTGGGGAATAGATAGGTGGATAGAGCGGGGAGAGGAGGGGTAGAAAGGATGCTCCAAGAGCCCTGATTCCCAAACTCCCTGCTCCACCACCCCAACACCCCCGTGTTTCCTGGCCTCCCCTCCAGCTGCCCAGGGGCCTGGGGGGACCCCACTGCTGCCCCCATGCCAGCCCTCTTGCCACAGGCACACCAGAGTTGCCTCTCTACATCTTTCCTGGGCATGCGGACAATATTGGGAGTCACAACCAGGCCGCGGGCCCTGGGAAGCGGGCACGCCACACAGGGACAGCATCCCACACCTCTGCTTCCTGCTCCTTCACCCACAGCCATGGCTGATGCTCGCCCTCGCACTTGTACATGGTGCGTTTGACCCCAAACAGCCTCAGCTCCTAATTTCTCAGCTGCCTCAGCTCCCTGTCCATCGCATCTATCTCGCAGGGGGAAAGGGGACAGGGGCGAGATCCCGGGGGTCACCAGTCCCCCAATCCCCTTCCCCAGCCCTGCTGCACACCCGCCACACCCCAAAAACGGCACTGGGAGTTTACCCGCGTCTTGTGCCCTGATGGAATCAACTTTGTGCCACGTCTACATGCGCATACTCTGGACACATCCTCTTTTCGAGTCATCCCTTATCTGTCGGGGAGCTTTTTACATTTCTTTTTTTTGGAAAATTTTTCATATTCTGCACCTAGTCGGCTAAATCAGCGCTGAATCCCTGGGATGGAGCGACACGCAATAATTCAAGAACCATATGTCACGCTACAACCGGCCAGTATCCTCCACCCCAAATTATTCAGCCAGGCTTGGGCCTGCAGTGGATTTGGGAGCATAGGAAGCTCGCTGCTCCCAAATCCCTTGGCAGTCATGCTACATGCAGGCCCAAGCCCAGGGGGCTTGGGGTTTAGATGCCCCCGAGGCTCATTTACCCTTAGCCCAGGGTCACGGGAGCCAAGTGGGGAGAAATCCCCCATCTCCATGAAATGTGGCCAAGATGGCTGGAAGTGAGGGGCACCAGCAGGGTGGGGGTAGTTGCAGGCTATGGGTCGGGAGTAAGGGGCACTAGTGTGGCCTGTGGGGTGGGAACTATGGGTTGGGAGTGAGGGGCACCGCAGGGCTGGTGCTGGGGGGGTGCGAGCAGGGGGTCCCGTAAGGCAACTCATAGCCAGTCCCCTCTCCAGCAGTCCAACATGCTTGCGTGTATGTGTATGTGTGTGTGTGTGTGTGCGCGCGTGACTGTGCACAACTGTGTGTGTGCCCATCTTTGTGCATATGCACACATCTGTGTGCCTGTGCATGCACGTCTGTGCATCTATGTGTCTACTTCCGTGTGTGCGCGTTTGTGTGTGTGTGCGGGTCTGTGTGTGCGCACGTGTCTGCGCGTGCACGCGCCCATGTTCAGGGCAGGGCGACTGGGGTGTGCCCACGTGCAGAGAGCGAGCGTTGCACACCATCTGGTGGACAAAGAGGCTCATTACACATCTTTGAATGCCTTTGTGTTTGCATGCAACAAATCCATGGATGCAACACTTTAATTCAAACTCTGCTGTGTCCGAGGAGTTTTAGTTTAATGCACAAGAGAGACTTTTTAAAGTGTCGAGAAGACCCGCTCGTGCAAACATACGCGCAGTTGCAACGCATGAAAGGGCAAAAATCGTGGCGTGTACATGAAAGCGATCGGAAGGGGTGAGGACAGGTGTTGCTCGTTTCCCCAGGGCAGCTCTGGAGAGGAAGCCAGGCCGGGACCACAAGCCACAGAAGTCAGCACACGGCAGCTAAAAAATGGCCAAGTGAGAGGCACTCGATAACCCCAGCTTTGCTCCTTTTCAGGGCCCCAGAAGCTGGGAAATCGTTACCGTTGGAAAGGCCTGAGTGGGAGAGTCCCAACACCCCGTCCGGGCCAGGAATCAAAGCTGGCAAGCGTCCCTTCCCCGTCGTCAGGTTAATGTTTTCCAGTCAAAAAGGCAGCAGAAGCTCAGAGCTGGGATACGGTTGAGGAGGGGTGAAGGGAGTCTAATAAAGGCTGTGGACCCAGACGTGAGCACAGCTGGAGTGTCAGGGCTCTCTAGGAGATCAGGGACCGCAGATTTGCAGCTCTTTTTCTTGTCCAAGAGACACGGACATGGCCTGAAAAGGAAAGAAGCATGTAACAGAGCGAGCTTTGTTTCCTGCAAGGGGCTCTGCCCTTGTTACACAGCACGTCTGGGGCGCTGCGCAGAGCCAGCGGCACTGAGCAGATGCGAGGTCTCCTGGACACTGCACAAACTCAAGGACTTGGGGCTTGCACGCAGCTCCCCCAGCCCCAGCTGGAAAAAGCCGACCGGCTGGACCTCCCGGACCTGCTCATCAGTTCCTCTTAGGAACCGTCTTTAGACCACGGACTGGCAAACAGCAGACCGACATACTGGAGATGGGAAGTGACGGGCAAGTTATGGGCCGAAAGTCGGTTAGAAGTGGGATGGGCATGCTATGGGAAGTCCCCGGAAGTGACGGGCAAACTACACACTGGAAGCCTTTCGCAACCTACCAGGCCGCAGCGTGGGCCTTGGGACCCCCTGTCTTAGGACTACACGGTGGAGGCGACCCTTGAGGTGCTGACAAACATTGGCTTGCATGCACGGCCCGAGAACAGGACCCCAGTATTGGTAAGAGGTTTCTCCACGTAGGAGTTTGAAATCAGATAGGATGGGCATTGACTGATGAGAAATCTCTAGGAAGCTGATCGCAGAACACCCTTTTCCAGTACTTTTTTAAACAATGGAGCCTAATAAATAGCTGCTTATGGAGACAGTGAAGATCAGAGACCACTGGGCACAATAGGTGGGAGTTTCAGGAGAGCACACTGGTTTGGCATAAGACACATTTATAAATCGACGGCCTATTTTGAGAACTATGCCTTAATTCAGAAATGCAAGTGTGAGGCAGTGAGGGTCAAACAATCGGTGCGAGGTAGGTGAGATGCAGTCACGTGGACTGATTTAACATCAAACTTTTGACCGATATTGGATGTTTGCTTTGGGAAATAGGTCTTAATCAAAGGGGGCGTGTGGAAACTAGGATATAGTTACAGTTGTGGTTTTAATGCACCGTGGCTTTTCTTGTGTCGGGTATCTGGGTTGTAGCCATATTGGTCTAGGGGAAAAAGCAATCAGGACTTGTCGTAGAGGTGATCTCTTTTATTAGAGCAACTCGATTTTTGTAAAAAAAAATCTTTTTGGGCACGCTTTTGGGCACGAGCACCCTTCTTCAAGCATTGGAGAAAAGACTGTACAAGTTCTCCTGGGTAGAAATGAAAATTCATGTTTCATAGGAGAGCTGAAAGTGTGGTACAATCTCCTGTTTGGAAAAGTTCATTTTATAGGCAGATTATGCCCAGAGAAAAGTCAGAATAGTCTGCTGGCCTTGAAGTTGTCTGTATGGTAAGCAGGGTGGAGCTGTATTTCCTTCTGGTTATGGGTCTCGTATTTCACAGAAGAGACAACAGGTGGGACCCTTTTCTTAGAAATGCCTGCCCGAGGAGAACAAAACCACTTAAAGAGGAAAAAGGGGCCCAGTGAGGCAACGGACATTGCACTAGTCCTGAGATAAACCATTTTATCCCAGGACAGCACGAGATTGCTCAAATGTCCATGTCCATGTCATCTGGAAACAATGGTTCGGGAAGACTAGATTTTGTTCGATGAATCTGAAGAAGAGCCAGACATTTAACCAACCATTAATTTAGGGGCAGGGACCAGCAGGAACGCAACTCAAACACAAAAGAAGATTTGAACTGAGTGGGGATGAAAGAGGCAGACTGAAAAGCAAGTTAAAACACGGACCTATAAAGCAGGAGTTGCCAAAGGTTTATACATTTCCACTCCTGAGTAGACTTAAAAGGAGGAGAATGGAGATTTTTAGCTGGAACTAGAAACCATCTACAAAACGGATGAGAGATTAGTTTCCCAGGGTTAGCAAGGCAGCAATGTGGCAGAAGAAAGGGTAGCGTGACCAGTGGAAAATCAAGGCTGTGAAAAAGGACAGAGGCTGGTTAACACCTGTGGAGTGGAGAGAGTAGCAGGAATCAGGTGGATCACAACTACTCTCTCAGCGCTGCCTGAATAGAAATGTCACTGCTGCTCCTGGGCAGCTGGTATTAAAGTTTGGGTACTGCAGGAGTCAAAGTGTGCATGCAGGCAGGAAGGCGCCCCCACCCCTCCCCGGATCCACCCGGTCTCTCACACCCGGTCTGCTCTTTTTCTCTCCTGCAGACAGTAGCAGAAGCAATCAGCTTCCACGAAGAGCTGCTAATAACATGGCAAACCTGGCAGGTGAGTCACATGGCAAGCAACTCTGTAGATGGCAGCTGCACCTTGGAGACTGTGCTGACACCCTAGCCTGATGTCCGTGGTCACAGACCCACATGGAGGGAACAGCCAATCTCAGATAAACTGGAAGCCCCATGTCTTTTTCACTCAAAGGCTTTAAAACCCCGAGGCTCCTTGACAGAGCCCTAACCCCCAACCCTGTGGACCAATGGCTTGAAGTTGCAGCCATGTCAGTTTAGGTTGGATCTTGGGAAACACTTCTACATTGGTAGAGCAGGGAGGCTGTGGAATAGACACCTGAGTCGTGCAATCTCCATCACTAGAAATCTTCAAGGAGAGGTTGGATGATCTAGGTGTCACTAGGCAAAGTAATTATCACGCAATGCAAATGGCCGTCCAGCTACAAAAAGAGCCAAGAGCCACAAAGCGAGTGCTTGAAAATGTGGAACAACGTTCTAGCTGGTTTGTATCCAGCTTGCATTTGGATGTGTGGCAGAGCTCAGAGAGAACAAAACCACTTAAAGGGGGAACTGCAAGGCCTACCTAAAACAGCGGCCCACTGAGACAAGGAATAGATATCACACTAGTCCCGGGATGAACCATTTTCTCAAAGAATCATAGAAAATGAGGGGTGGAAGTTATCTCAGGAGGTCACATCTAGTCCAACCCCCTGCTCAAAGTAGGACCAGCCTTAACTAGACTATGCCAGCCAAGGCTTTGTCTACCCGGGTGTCGTGGAAAAAACATGCTGTAGAATTTGGAATCGGGTCAGGTAGAAACTTTATTTCGATAGCTATCGGAGAGAGACCCTTACAGGAAGATTTCTGCTGTGGCCTCTCTAATTCACATCCAGGGCAATCTACCTTCTATAGATTCAAGACAAAGGGTTGCCTAAACTAACTTTTCCCGCCTTGGGGCTATCTGTCTTGTGTCCTTCAAGACAGTTTAATGGTCATCTTCCTCTTATCTAAGGAATTTCTGTCTCCCCCCTTGAGGCCTTAGCCATCCTTTGCTTCCACATTTCCCCCCTTTGAGACTTACAAGTCTCATCTTATTCTATTTCTATTCCCATGAGTCTCTCTATTTCATCTTGCATCTTTCTATATCGTCTTTCAATCTGCTCACATCTTTTTAGTACCATCATTTTAGTTTCTGTGGTGTGTTTTCTTTCATTTTCCTTCTGCTGATTTTGTTCAGATATTTGCAGGAACATTAATCTATTCCCTGGTTGGGTTTGCTTAGATATGTAGCTTAGACAACAGCGTATGGGCATGAAAATTACACATATCAGGACAATAATAATAAAGAATATCAATAACCCATGAAAAATGGTGGATCCTAAGGAGCCAAAAAGGGACCTAAACCATGAACTTAAATTCCAGTCATCTGGCTCATGTAGTTTGGCTGCTTCCTTTTGAATATGTTCAGCCAAATCTTGTATTTTTTCGGAATTATCAGGGATGTAAGTACAGCATTCTTTACCAATTAAAGCACAGACTCCTTTGCTGGCTAACATGTCATCTCTGCGCCATAGTTGGGAAACATGATTCCCCAAAATCTCTGAGTTTCTATAATTTCCCGCATGTTGCAAATCTTTCCTTTTGGCAAGTAAGCTCTAACAGCAATAGCGGGATATATTGCAGAGACATAGCATGTTCCTTCCCAACCGGAAGGAAGGTGTTTATAGGCCTTGTCTCCACATGTGAAATAATGGCCAGCCAGTGCAGTAAACCCGTGACTATTATTACAGCGTGGTCTCATCATCCATTGTGTATAATAACCTGAAAATCCACTCTGTTTGGGAGTATAATTAGATATCTAGGAACCATTAGAGAACCACGCCCCTTTTATCTTAAATTCTCTCTCACATTTACTGATTCCTACTGAAAATTCAGATCCGTTACAGGTCCAACAAAGTTTTCCCAGGGTGGCATAGGCTAACCATATATAATCAAATCGGTTACATTTTATATCCTGCCAGGTTTCATTTCCTTTAAAATCTGAATAGTAAGGGGCCGACATTTGTGTGGTGTTTAAAGGTGTTGATATCATGGATTTTCCCCCGGTAGAACGGATAGGGGCATGACTGCAGACCCAACAGTGAGAAACATTGAAGTCCTTTGCAAATTGGTAAGATAATTGGAGGAAAACATTTTGGTGATGAAATAGTGACCTTCTTGATCTATTCTGCAATATTAAGTTGTTTATCATGTCTTCTTCAGTTACTG